ATGACCAAACCTTTGCCAAACGCGATCCCAAAGATCCCCAAACCCCCATCCCGGGGCCGGGAAATTCGCTTTTCCCGGAGCCGCCGCAGCGCGGCCGGCTCAGCTGCCGTCGCCATAGCAGCGGGTATTTATTACATTTAATTACATTTAATTACATGTACAGCCCCGGAGCCGCCGGACTTCAACCCCGAATTACGGCGAGCTCCAGCAGCCGCCTCCGCTCCTGCCAGGACACCAAAACCCCCCGGATTTTCCCCAAAATCATGGTGAGTGACCCCCGAGCCGACCCCAGCTCTGCGCCCCAAAATCCCATTTTAAAACTCTTCTTTTTTTTTTGTTTTTTTTTTTTTTTTCCTCTTCTCTTTCTCTCCTCTTCCTGCTCCAGGCAAAGTTTCTGTCCCAGGATCAAATTAACGGTAGGTACGGCTTTGTTCTGCTCCGGGGGGTTAATTAGCCAGATTAAATTTATGTTTATATTTAAAAATTTTATCATTTTGAGGCATTTTTCCCCCCGAAAGCGTCTGGGTTTGGGTTTGTTTTCCCTCAGTCCCTCTCCTCCCGGGATTTCCTGGCTGGGAAAACAAGGAAATCTCCCGAAATTCCATTAAAATTCTGCATTTCTAAAGCGGCCGATTGCGCTGGGAGGAGCAGGGGGCGAACACCCCCCAGTCCCGAAATTCCAGGAGTCCCGATCCCACTTCTGGGGGAATTCGGGAGCGGAGGAGGAAGAGGAAGGAGGAGGAAGAGGAAGGAGGAGGCGGCTCCGGGGATGCGAATTCCCCTTGAGAGCCCCCCTGGATTAAAAAAAAAAAAAAAAAAAAAAGGAGCCTGGGATTGCCCCGGGAAGCAGAAATAAGAGTATTAATAAGAGTATTATTGGAAATCTGATAATCTGCCGGGGATTGGCCAGCGAGGAGGAGGAGGAGGAGGAGGAGGAGGAGGAGGAAGCCGGGGCACGGGAGGGCGCAGCGCCCACGGACACCGGGACGACCCCAGAATATTTTTGGGGCACCCCCGGAGCATTTTTGGGGCGCCCCAGCAGCGAGGGTTGGGGACAGAGGGGACAGGGACGGGGCTGGCACCGATCCAGGCTGGGTTTGCCTGGCCCGGAGGGAACCGGGAGCGCTGGGAGAGGGGAGGGAAAAGGGAAAAGGGAAAAGGAAAGAAAAGGGAAAAGTGGGAAGGGAAAAGGGAAAAGGGAAAGGGAAGGGAAGGGAAGGGAAGGGAAGGGAAGGGAAGGGGAAAAGAAAAGTGGGAAGGGAAAAGGGAAAGGAAAAGAAAAGGGAAGGGAAAAGGGAAGGAAAAAGGGAAGGAAAAAGGGAAAAGGGAAAAAGGAAAAGGGAAAAAGGAAAAGAAAAGGGAAAAGGGAAGGGGTTGCAGAGCTCCCGGCTGGATCTGGGTCAGTGCGGGCCGGGCTTTGCTGCTGGGAAAGCGCCGAGAGATTGGGAGAGCTCGGCGCCCTCCCCCCCAAAATCTTCCTCTCCAACATCCAAAATCCTCCTCCTCCAAAATCTTCCTCCTCCAGCATCCAAAATCTTCCACCTCCAGCATCCTCCAACATCCAAAATCTTCCAGCATCCAAAATCTTCCACCTCCCACCTCCAGCCTCTCCCTCATCCTCCTCGCCCCCTCCCACCCCCACCGAGGCAATAAAAACTTTTAAACCATTTCCTCCTCTTCCTCAGCCTGGAGGGTCCCAATTAGCTCCCCGAGGGTTTTAATTACCCTTAATTCCCCCATTCCCACCCCCCCCCGTGCCCATCACCCTCCTGGAAAGGCGACACCAGAGCCGGATCCCGGCTGGAATTGTGCCAGGGGAGGGATCGCGGCTCCCCGGGAGCTCTGGCGGCTTTAACCGAGCTTTGGTTTTTAATTAGAGTTCAAGGAATGTTTTTCCCTGTACGACAAGAAACAAAAGGGGAAGATCAAAGGCTCGGAGCTGCTGGTGGTGATGCGGTGCCTGGGAGTCAGCCCCACGCCAGGGGAGGTGCAGAGACACCTGCAGCTGCACAGGATCGGTGAGAGAGCGGCACAAAACAGGGAAAAACAGCCAAAAACGGGGGAAAATTCCGTTTATTCTGGAGTCAGGATGTTGGAGGCACAGGCACCAAAAATCTGCATTAAACAGGGAAAATTCAATTTATTCTGGAGTCAGGGTGTTCCGGGCACAGCACAGCCGCCAAAAACCTGAATTAAACAGGGAAAAATTCAATTTATTCTGGAGTCAGGAATTTCCAGGCAGAGCCACCAAAAATCTGCATTAAACAGGGAAAATTCAATTTTTCTGGAGTCAGGGTGTTCCAGGCACAGCACAGCCGCCAAAAACCTGCATTAAACGGGAAAAATTCCATTTATTCTGGAGTCAGGAATTTGCAGGCAGAGCCACCAAAAATCTGCGTTAAACAGGGAAAATTCCATTTATTCTGGAGTCAGGATGTTGGAGGCACAGGCACCAAAACCCTGCATTATACAGGAAAAATTCCATTTATTCTGGAGTTGGGATGTTCCAGGAGGGAACATCCACCCACAGCAGTCACCACAGATTCAAACAGTGCTGTTAAAATCCCCCAAAAATCAGGAAATAAAGACTTTAATATGGGTTTGGAGGGTGGGAGAGTGTCCAGAGGTGGAAGGGCACAAAAAAAAAATGTTCAGCTGAAGGTGTGTAGGGAAAACCAAGCACAAAACCCAAGGAATTGTGAGATCGGGGTGGGAGGGTTCAAAAATTCGGGATCCGAGTTGGGAGCACGAATTTAACAGAATTATAAATGGGATTTTAGGGGGAAAACCTCAATTGTGACGTGACCTGATCCAGATCAGGGAAAAGGAGGAGAAATCCCAGGAAAAGGAAACTCCAGGAAAGGGGGAAAAGAAACTCCGGGAAAAGGGAAAGGAAACTCCAGGAGAGGAAAAAGGAAACTCCAAGGTCAGGGAGAAGAACTCCAGGAAAAGGGAACTCCAGGAAAAGGGAACTCCAGGAAAAGGGAAAGGAAAATCCAAGAAAGGGAAAAGAAACTGCAGGAGAGGGGGAAAAAAACCCCAGGAAAATGGAAAAAGAAACTTCAGGAGAGGGAAAGGAAACTCCAGGGAAAGAGAAAAGGAAACTCCAGGAAAGGGGGGAAAGGAAACGCCAGGAGAGGGAAAGGAAACTCCAGGGAAAGGAAACTCCAGGGAAAGGGAAAAGGAAATGCCAGGAAAAGGAAACTGCAGGAGAGGGAAAAAGAAACTGCAGGGTCAGGGAGAAGAAGAATTCCAGGAAAAGGGGAAAAGAAACTCCAGGAAAGGGAAACTCCAGGGAAAAAGAAACTCCAGGAATGAGAAAAAGAAACCCCCAGGTCGGGGAGAAGAAACCCCAAAGTCAGGGGAAGAAAAGCCCCGGAAAGGGAACGGGAGGAGGAGGAGGATGATGATGATGATGATGCTGCTGCTGCTGCTGCTGATGATGATGCTCAACCCTGGCTCCAGCTCCCAGACGGAGCCATTCCCCACGGAAATTCCCTTCCTTTTGCAGACAGGAACGCGGAGCTGGATTTCTCCACCTTCCTGACCATCATGTACCGGCAGCTGCGGCAGGAGGAGCCGGCCCGGGAGATCCTGCGGGCGCTGGCGCTGCTGGACCCGCAGCGCACGGGGGCGATCGCCGAGCCCGAGCTGAGAGCCAAACTCACCGTGCTGGGAGAGAAACTGGCCCGGGAGGAAGGTGAGGATGTGCCGCAGCTCCAGAGACACCGAGCGCTGCTGCACTGGGCTGAACTGGGCTGAACTGGACTAAACTGGGCTGAACTGGACTGGACTGAACTGGACTGAGCTGGACTAAACTGGGCTGAACTGGACTGGGCTGAACTGGACTGAGCTGGACTAAACTGGGCTGAACTGGACTGGGCTGAACTGGGCTGAACTGGACTGAACTGGGCTAGACTGGACTAAACTGGACTGAACTGGACTAGACTGGACTGAGCTGGACTGAACTGAACTGGACTAAACTGGACTGAACTGGACTAGACTGGACTGGACTGGACTAGACTGGACTGGACTGAACTGGACTAGACTGGACTGAACTGGACTAGACTGGACTGAACTTTCCTGAACTTTCCTTTCCTGATCTTTCTTTTCCTGGACTTTCCTGTCTTTTCCTGTCTTTCCTCTCTTTTCCTGATCTTTCCTTTCCTTTCCCGAACTTTCCTTTCCCTTTCCTCTCCTCTACTCTTTCCCTTCTTCCTCTTTCCCTTTTTCCTTTTCCCTCTCTCTTTTCTTCCTCTTTTCATTCTCTTTTCTCCTTCTCTCTTTTCTCCCTTCCTCTTTTCCCTCTTTCTTTTCTCCTTCTTTTTTTTATTTCTCCCTTTTCCCCCTTCTTTCCCTCTTTCTTTTCTCCTTCTTTTTTATTTCTCTCTTTTCCCCTTCTCTCTTTTCCTTTTCCCCTGGGATGAGGAAGGGCCTGCGCCAGCAGGAGACACCAAAATAAAAACAGACAAAACCCCCAAACCCCTCCCATTTGTCAGCAATAAACCCAGAACCCCACTTGGAATAAATTTTTGATTTTTTTTTTTTTTTCCCTTGTGGAACTCAAAAAGACTGATATCCCTGCTGCAGGGAATTCGACATGGAATTAAAATCCAAGTGCTGAGTGACTCCAGTTTGAAACTCCCCTAAAAATCCCCCAGAAATCCCCAAAAATCCCCCAAAATCCCCCCCAAAAATCTCCCAAAAATCCCCCATCCCGCCCTGAGGATGTTTTCCCGTTTTTCAGTGGATGATCTGCTGAAAGATGCCAAGGTTGGGCCCAACGGCACCATCAGATACGAGGAGTTTGTGCAGCAGCTCTGCCTCCCTTCGGTGGATTACTGACCCAGCACCAGCACCACCTGCGAGGTTCTGATTTTCTATTTCATTTCTATTTTTATTTCTATTTTTTTCCTATTTTATTTCTATTTTTTTCCTATTTTTTTCTATTTTATTCCTAATTTTTTTCTATTTTATTCCTAATTTTTTTCTATTTTATTCCTAATTTTTTTCTATTTTATTTCTATTTTTTTCTATTTTATTTCTATTTTTTTCTATTTTTTTTTCTATTTTATTTCCATTTTTTTTCCTATTTTTCCCCACTTTTTATTCAGGCTCAGGAGCCTTCAGTTGCCTTTCAAAATCTGATTTTGCCTTCATTCCGTGCTGACTCCTCCTGGGGAAGCAGGATGTGAGCTCTTAGTGAAATAAACCGAGTGCAACAACGCGTGTCAAGCTCTCAAAAGTGATTTTTGAAATTATTTTCAACCTCGGGGCTGTGGCAGAAGGAACTCGGGGTCAAGGTCTCGGGGTTCTCCACCGAGCCAGCAGCTGTTGGTGTCTGCACAAGGGAAAAATGGGGAAAAAGGAAAAAACTTCCCAGGGAAATTCAACTTTTTCACATCAGAAAAAAACCTTCCCAGGAAAATTCCCCTTTTCCAAACCAGGAAAATTCCCCTTTTTCCACATCAGAAAAAACTTTCCCAGGAAAATTCAATTTTTCCACACCAAGAAAAACCTCCCCAAGGAAATTCCCCTTTTCCACACCAGAAAAAACCTTCTCAGGAAAATTCAATTTTTCCACAGCAGGAAAAACCTTCCCAGTTCCAGACTGACTAAACCCTCTCTGATTTTCTTTTCCACGTTGATTAATCCCCCTCTGATCCTCATTTTTATCCCACCTTAGGGCAGCTCCACAAAGAAATATTTGGAATTTTGGGCAGGTTCTCCCTGGATTGAGCTGGGAAATTTCACAGGGATCAAGCAGCACTCCGGAAAATTCCCATATTCCCAAAAATCTGCTCTGGCTTCTGCTCCTCTTTCCTCTCCCTCCACCCTTTTAAAAAAAAATCCTGAATCTCCTCTTGGCTCCGTCAGTGAATTAATCAGGAATTAATTAATTAATCCTGGCAGCCACAGCAGATCCAAGGGATTGGGAAGGAATTCTTCC